TGCTCTCTGAGCTGGGTGGTTTTCTTGCAGATGTTTCATGACCCAACCAGGGAACATCATCAGTGCTAGAAGGGAGTGGGGGGTCTTGTTTTCTATTTAAACATCCCTTCCCTCCTGATAATGTTCCCTAGTTGGGTCATGAAACGTCTGCAAGAAAAGGAGCCAACTCAGAGAGCACCGAGAACCCCAGAGAAAAAGATTGAAACACACAGCTGGACTTTGCAAATAGACAGGAGGGGTGGGAGGAAGAAGAAGGAGAAGGAGAGAGGAGGGGTAGGGGAAGAAGACGAGGAGGGAGGAGGACTGAGGGCGGGAGGGACGATTGTCAGGCTTATGCCTCTTGTGGCTGCGCAAAGACTCGAGGCTACTTCCCCCCTTGACCCCCTCCTCCTAGCCTGTCAGTTTCCCAAGGGGCTTAGAGGAGGGGAAGGGGCCGTGTCGGGGGGGGGGGGGTGCCTCCTCCCTTGCCCCCTCCTTCCTCACTCCCCCCACCCGCCGCCTCTTCTGCAGGGCCCCTGCCAGAACCTGACCTGCTTTCCGCCCAGCACTCGGTGCTTTGGGGTCTGTGACCAGGGGGTGGTCCCCGTGCCCCTCTTCCTGAACCGGAGCATCGTGCAGCAGCCGATCTACTTCCCCCACCTGGTGGGCCACTACCACACGTTTGCGCGAGACTTCATCACAGTTTCTGCTCAGCGCAAGCAGCCTTTCTTCCTCTACTACGCCTCGCACGTGAGTCTCCTGGTGGGGGTGTGTGTGTAAGCAGGGAGGTTGAGGGCGGGGTAATCTCAGCACATTTTATATAGGAAGTCCTCCACGTACAACCGCAATCGAGCCCCATATTTTTGCAGCCGAGCGAGACAGCGAATTTTCGCCCCCCTTCTACGACCTCGCTGGCCACAGCTGTTAACTGAATCAGTGCAGCTGTTTCAGTGAGTGACACGGTCGTTGAATGAATCTGGCTTCCCCTGTTGACTTGGCTTTGTGAGAAGGTCATAAAAGGGGATCGCTGCGACCGTCATAAGTACGAGCCCCGTTGGCCAGCCTCTGAAGGTTGATCACGTGACCACGGGGGAGGCTGCTGCAACGGTCTTTAAGTGTGAAGGACGGTCATGAGTCACCTTTCTTAGTGCCACTGTAACTTTGAACGGTCATTAAATGAACTGTTGTAAGTCCGGGATGACCTGTAGTAATAATAATGGTGCACTGACCCACAGTGGTCAGAGAGCAGTACTGCAGGCTCCTTCTGCTGACTGCCGGCTGACTGCAATTTGGTAGTTCGATCCTGACCGGCTCCAAGTTGACTCAGCCTTCCGTCCTTCCCAGGTGGGTAAAACAAGGACCCAGATGGTTGTGGGGGGCAAGAGGCTGACTCTGTAAAGTGCTTAGAGAGGTCTGTAAAAGCACTGTGAAGCGGTATATAAGTCTAAGGACTGTTGTCCCTTCCTTCCTTCCTTCCTTCCCATCTTCCTTCCTTCCTTCCTTCCTTCCCATCTTTCTTCCTTCCCATCTTCCTTCCTTCCTTTCTTCTTTCCTTCCATCCTTCCTTCCTTCCTTCCTTCCTTTTTCTTCCTTTCTT